GATACACATTACCTGTAAAAGTCAAAGTGTTTCATATATAGCCACACAAAGACAATTTGCCAGACGTAAGCACCCAGATACACATTACCTGTAAAAGTCAAAGTGTTTCATATATAGCCACACAAAGACAATTTGCCAGACGTAAGCACCCAGATACACATTACCTGTAAAAGTCAAAGTGTTTCATATATAGCCACACAAAGACAATTTGCCAGACGTAAGCACCCAGATACACATTACCTGTAAAAGTCAAAGTGTTTCATATATAGCCACACAAAGACAATTTGCCAGACGTAAGCACCCAGATACACATTACCTGTAAAAGTCAAAGTGTTTCATATATAGCCACACAAAGACAATTTGCCAGATGTCCAGTGGTTCTGAAACTCTGCAGGGCTGTACAGTTGGACCCATCACACCCAACACTAGTCTTCCATGACCGTTGTCCCACAAAGAAGAGAAGCCAGGATGCCCTCAAAGAAGCGACTGCACTTATTCATCTCCACAATGTAAAGTCCAGTTGGGTGGAAAGAGCAAGAGTTCAAGTGCTCGGATGGGCGGATGGATGGGCGGGCAGGGGAACAATTCATACGAGGAGCCGAAGAGAAGACCAAGCCTGCCGAGGTGCCTCGTTCCTCCCTTCCATGTCTGGAGCATCCCAAGGGAAGACGAGGCCCTCCTTTGGAGCCAAAAACTAATGCCACAGGCTGTTCTGCGGGGGTGACCTGGAGGGCTTGCTTAAAGGTGTTACCACCAATCCAGCACTCAGGTCCAGGCCTCGTCCTTCTTTCTCCTAGACCGAGACACACAAACACTTCAGTTCTGTGGCACTTCTAACGAAAAGACCGGCAGATGAAAAAGGAAAGCTGTTCACAACACCGGGGTTTATTTTTTGCGGAGCTCTGGATGAGAAATTCCACTACAATCTAACACCTCCTGTAAAAACTCAACGCATTTAACGTTCACGAAAAACAAGGATTTTAGCGGTGGGTCACTGCTGAGGGGAAAGCTGGAGGGGATTCTAAGGGGTCACAGACTGCACACCTGCCTGCTTTCTCTGTGACAAATGTTCTGTATTTCCCTGCTAATCTCCATGATCCATGTCCTCCCCGCCACTCTAATTGCTGACAAACTCTGCCGAATACATGGCAGATGCATGGTCGCACATACCCCACAGTGATGCTTTCCCTGCCTTGGTGACTGAGGCCAAACCTGTGCACCCCCCAGAAAGGGTTACAAACATTAGATCTCCCAAGTCTATTTGGAAGTGAATCCCCCTGAACTGAAGTTGTGGTACTTCCCTGCAAAGATGTACTGAGCATCAGACTGCCCGTAAACCTGACCCAACCGAATCCAACCCAACAGAACTAAATGGAGAGGACAGGCCATCTCGGACATTTTGAAAAACTCTCACGCCCACTAGCCAGGCGTCCACAAGTAACCTGCAGCATTATATCACCTTCTCATACTAAAAATCCCCAATTAGTCTTGGAGAAAGTAGAGTCAGGAGGGGAAAAAACTATTAGAGCTGGGCATAATCTTTCCTTGATTATTTCTGGATGCAGCTAATCAGTTTTTTGAAACTGAGGCCTCTTGGCCATTTCAGGTCTTCTTAATCCAGACAAAAAAATATAAAGTCCAGCCTTACAATCTTCATTTTAAATTTATCAGTGGGGTTGTAAAGTAGATACACACTGGATTCACACTTTGCACTAAGTCATAACAAGGTTTTGTTTGTTCTGGCTCATTGGTTGTATGAACACAGGATTTACAATATGTTTTACATATTTAGCCAATGGTAATTTATTCCACAAACCATGGCTAAGCCATCTTTATCTTAATGTGAAGCTTAGGCTTCCATTTTTCTGAATAAGTTTCCTGAGAAAGTCTTGTGAAACTGGCACAGATCTTAAAATAACAGTGCAGGCACTGAAAATGTTATCAGATTAAAAGCATTCACAGTAAACCTCAGTCCTGATGGCCTGAGAACATTTTTATTGTCTAGAGTGTTTTGCCAGACTTTTCATGCTGGACTAGCTAAAATGGGTTGGGTACCCTGAGGTTCAGTATGTTCTCGGAAACTAGTAATTGCCTCAGCCTGCTGTTTGAGCCAAGCCATCACATGTTTTATTTGCTGGGGGGGCATATGTTCTGCAAGCGCAGCAGCCATGTTTAGTTAACCCAGATTTAGTATGTTGGATGAACCCAAATGCAACATTACTTCCATGGAGAAGTATCATGTGTACAGCAGCCTCGCCTACAGTAGTCCTTGTTTAGTGACCACAACTGGGACTGGCAGCTCTGTTATTAAATGAAGCATCGCTAAGTGGGAAATCATGTGACCACAACTGTGCTTTCCTTTTCCCCCACCCCTCTACCCTTTGGAATGCTCGCCCTGGCGCTAGGATAATTAGCAAGAAGAGAATCGATGTTTATATTTACATTCACTGGAAATGAAGAGATTACAAGAGTAAGCAGGCACACCATGGGGAATATGCATTAAAAGCAATGCACTGGCAGCCCTAAGTGCACTACGCAAACAGCCTGGTGTATTCCCCATGATGTGCCTGCTTACTGTCTTGTAATCCCTTCCTCTCCAATCTCTCCGCATTGCAAGGAGGGGGGGGGGGAAAAAGGAAATTTCTTTGGGCAATCTCCATTTTTCCTGACTTGTTTTTTTTTCTCCCCTGCCTTGCAACACAGAGAGATTGAAGAGGAAGGGATTACAAGAGAGTAAACGTGCACACTATGGGGAGTATCCTGAGCTGTTTGCATAACATGGTCAGGGCTGCCAGCACATTGCTTTCAATGCATATTCCCCATGGTGTGCCTGCTTACTCTCTTGTAATCCCTTCCTCTCCAATCTCTCTGCTCTGCAAGCGGGGGGGGGGGAACAACAGGTCAGGCACAGGACAACACGTACTGACTGTAATGGAGATCACATCACTGAGGGATGCTGCAAAGGTTGTAAATGTGGGCATTGGTCATAAAGTTATCTTTTCAGCACTGACCTAACTTTGAACACTCGCTGAACAAGGCAGTCAGTAAGCAAAGACTACCTGTACTTCCCTTGCCTCAGATCGGGGTCCCACTTCTCCCTCTCCAAATGCAGAAACAAGGAAGGAGTTCCACAGTAGAGCATATGATTTTCATATGCAGGAGGGGCCTGGTTTGATTTCTGACATCTCCAGTAAAAAGGGCTGGCAAAAAGCCTCTTCCCATGACCCTGGAGAGCCACTGCTAGTGGGAAAAAATGTCCCCAGCTCAGAGGGACCAGCAAACTGATGTTCAGCACTCACCCCCAGGCCAGTTTTGAAATACTTACAGCTCTATAATCCAGGAACATCTCTTTGAATGCCAGAAAGTCAGTAAATGTGAGAAGCATATCAAAAATGTCTCCAGCTATTTCATCCTTGTGCTGCCTGCAAGTGAGGGATTTGGATCTGTCATTAATGTGGAAAGGTATTTGATATTTTAAAGGATGTGAAAGGAGAGGGATTACAAAATCTGACCTGAAGAAGTGAAGAGAAAAAACTACAGGTAGTCCTCACTTAACGACCACAATTGGGACCAGCAACTCTGTTGCTAAGCGCCACGGTCGTTAAGTGAGACATCATGTGGCCACGACTTGCGATTTCACGGCTGGCTTCTTCGGTGACTCTGCTTGTTGGAAGCCGGCTGTGAAGCATGCAAATGGTGATCACATGACTGCAGGAGAGCGCGATAGTTGAAAATGCAAGGACCAGTCATAAAGTTATTTTTTCAGCACCGTAACTTCGAGCGGTTGCTAAAAAAGAGTCATTAAATGATGACTATCTGTAACCCCTTACATAACAGCGATTGGGCAGAAAATGACAGAGTTACTTAGAATATTTTCAACAGTCCCTGAAGAACTAGATGAATAGACATGATAAGAAAAAAGGCCACCCCCACAAAAAAGCAAAGAAAAATTAAGGCAGACAGGAGGAATGTCATTAATCAAAATTAAAATGCTGACAGTAGCTTTGATCTAATCTAAAAAGGAATGATAAGCAGCCGTAATCAGAGAGATGGCTGCCAATTTTCTTCACATTCCTCCTTCTCCATGGGAGGGCAGGAATCTTAACGTAACATTAAATCCATAGGCAAATTGCATAATTTGAAATCTCAGTGTAAAATGGAATTCCTGCTTAAGGATTCTGGCACAAATTGTTCTTTCATCGCTGCATTCGGTGCCAAGTAATCCTGAGTTGTGAAATATGAAATTACTGTTTTTTTGATCCCTTAATGCAACTCTGCTTGTGTGAGGCTCTCTGATGTACTGGCACGTAGATGGACTTACTTGTGCAGGCCATCCCTAAGTCCATATGGGATATAGGAAATGCAATCCCCTACTTAGAGGGAAGGATAGGCAACTATTCTGCCACTGGACACCACCCTTTTAGGATCTGGGGAGTATCTTAAGAGATGAATTGAGTGCTTTTTTTTTTTTTTTTAATTTGCCCTCAGTCGTTACCGACTCTGCAGTGACTGCTTGGACGAGTTTTAAAGGCAAGGTGTTTCGGAAGTGGTTTGCCAGAGCCTCCTTCCTAGAGCAGAGC